TAACAAATATTTACACAAAATAGATTAAAAAAATCATTGGAGGAAGGGGAAAAATACCTTCTCTTCTACAGATGAGGGAATCAAATTCCAGCCTACAGTAATATGATTTCTTTGCAAGGAACACTTATTCTCCCTATACGTATAAAGAGCCTACTCATCTAATGAAAGACAAAGAATCGAGCATAAACTTGGGTAGCCCACTAAGCTGAATCCAAACAAATGGATAGTCAACGCTCAGAACTGAAGCCATTTAGTTTCTCTTTCTGTTTTTTTGCTAAAAGAAACAATCTCTCATGGAACTAGCTTAAAGGAAAGGAAGAGACAGAATAATTGTCCTCTCAAGACACAATCTGTCCTCAAAAAAGCAGAGACCTGTTTGAATATGGCTGCTTATAAACCCAGAAGAAAAATTCAGACAGATCACCAACTTGTCAATCATCAAAAGCAGATTCATAAGAGTGAGATATGTGGACACCACCACAGACAATGTAGTATAGGGCCTCTCTCTGACACAGGTGACTTACTGTGAAGAACAATAACCTGTAGTAAAATCCTACACTCCCCCCCAGCTGAAGGTTCTCACTATACTCAGATGCCTGTGAGAAAAATATAAAATAAGGAAATATTGAAATAGTAGCACATTAAAAGAGAAGATGCATTCACAGTTTACCCAATGGCATCTTCTCTTTCTACCCCAATATACTGTTAATTTAGCCAAGATCCAAGATGAATGGCAGTACACTCACAACTGGAGCAGTAGCTTTGATTTTGCTTCCTCCTGTCCAGAATACCTGGATGAACAGTAGAGGGCTGCTGCACATTTAGGGGTCAACTTATCAAAACTGCAAAGTTAGTATTTCCATAGAAGAAAAAGGCAGAAATAGGGCACACAGGCCAACCCAGGCCAACAAATAGCTATCAAATTTTTCTGGGTTACAAATAAAGGGTTTGCTCCACTTTGGTTCCTCTAGCTTGAACTCTACAACAAATTAAGCACATCTCATTATTTTACATCAATAATGGCAATCACTGAAGTGTACACACACACAAGAAAGAAAAAAAAAACACCTATGCAAATGAATAACACATACATAGAAGCACATATGTATATAAAATATTGGCTTCATATATTTATACCTCTTTCTTTATTGTATCTTGAAAACAAAATTGCTCTAAATAAAATCTGGCACCATGAAATCCCAAACAAGTCAACAACAAAGCACTAATAAATTGAGGTACTAATAGCAATGATGACATAATAGGATTTCCATGGAAAGGTTTTTACTCAAACCCTTTCTACACTCAGGAAAATTTCAAAGGTGCATTGCTACAAGTCACCAAAAAGAAAATCTCCAGATACCTGCATTGAATAAAGTCTGTTTTAAATGGTAACTTATAATTTTGTTTTTAAAATTAGTAGAACTTGAAGCTGAAGTAGTTCTGGAAAGGAGAAAATAGGAGCCGGGGGGAAACTTGTCTGCTCCAAAAGAACAAAAAAAGATGATCTGTCACAAAGCTTTATTCCAATCATTTTCTTCACTGTTAACTTTAATTATACACTCTGACTGTCCTGTAATTATGTAGCTTGGGAAACTGCCAATTTTTCCTGTGGAAACTTTTAAAATTTCTTGCAGAGATTCAGCATTACTTCCATCAATGCATTCCACATACTGTGTCACCATCTTTTAAAAGTAGAACCTCTAAAAACAGCAATTGATTAACTGAAATATGAACAAAATGCTGTGCATTTTACTTAAGTCACTGATGGCAACAAACAATAAAAAAGAAAAGCTAGCTCAACAGGAAACTAAATCAATAGGAAACTTTTTTTTTTTTTTAATCTATAAGGTAGCTAAAGACAAAGAAAATCATGGGGTTTTTCTTCCACTAAATAGCCTTTCTTCTTGAGGCCCCAGTCATATTAAATGGCAAACAGACAGTGAGATTCAAAAACAATTAATTCAAAGTCCAAATAAAGAAAAATAACACTGTGTTTCTCTGAAAGAAGGACAATAGCCTGAACAGAAAACCCACTACTGTAATTTCAGGAAGAGACATAAAGCAGGAAAAAGGAGAATAACGGAAATAGATTGTGGGAACGTAGATAAGAATCAAAAGAACGAAAAGGTTTGGTTATTTTTTTCCTTCTCTGCAGTGTGACACCCCACGTTTTCATCTGAAATGCTTTCCTTTTTTCCACGATGCACAGTTACCCATCCTTCACGCCCGTGCTCTTCAACACATCGCAATAGCATTTCCTATTACTATGAATTATTCGTTTGGTACTTGTCTTCAGAGCCCCATTGCCCCTCAGCTGAAGGGCACTTTAGCTTCAGACACCCTTCCCACCTAACTAATCCATTTATTAGGCACATTAATTCAAAACAGAATGATTTACGAGAGGGAGCACAAGAAAGAAAAATGGAGATTACTGAAAAGACTGGATAAGGAGAGGTTAGAAGGGAAGGCAGGGAATAAGTAATATAAGAAGATACATTACAAAGGGCCATGCAGCGGGGACATCTTAACAAAGCAGCAGGTCAGAACGCAGTGATTTGCATTGCCCATTAAATGCAGTACTGGGGGTACCACATAGGCCTGGGCTACTGAGTGTACATAGTACTAGGGTACTCAGCATAGTCACTCTGATCTCCTGATAGTATCTTCTCTTAATACACTACATTCTGTCAGGAAAAACTTGGTATTTTGCAGGTTCATTTCACATCAACTTTGGTTTCCAGTCTAAATTTTTATTTATTCCACAGCACAGATATTATCTCATTTGGAGCCTTAGGAATTAACCCCATGGCACAGCAGTTAACTGTATTACAAAATGACAAGTTGAAAATAATTTCTCCTCCTACAAGGCAAACTGTCTCCTAGTTTCAACGGTGAGGAAAAAAGAAAAGATCTCCTGTCAAACAAGTTGCTCAATATGCAAGTGTTCCTTGTCTGCGTATCTAACAATTTCTTGTGGAGACTTCACCTCGATCAGAGAGAGTATTTTTATTTGCTAGGGTATGAGAGTTGAAATGCATCTAAACGGATAAGAAAGTAGGTGGCTTTTGTGATCAAAGGCTAGCAACGCTCTAGGAGTTGCACAGTGCCTTTTATCTCTGGAGTTGTTCTGTGCACTGCTAGCACGCCAGGGTGGAGAGCCATGGATGAGCGAGCTACCACGCCAGCACCTCGCACGGCTCAGGAGAGATGGGTAACCTAACGTATTCCCAGGCACATTAACAGTTCCCGAAGCAACTCTGGGCAAGTAATTTAATCTAACTGTGCCTCAGTAGGCACTTATATTGTACATGCATAGGCATACTCTTTCTCAAGTGGGAAATACATAAGGCACTCAAATAGTCTCATGACAGGAATCATACAAGACTGAAGACAGACATCTCAAAAAAACCACCAAAGCCCCTCAGGTCAGTAGTGCGGTAGCAAAAATATTCCACTGTATAAACAAAATTGAGTCCGGACTCAAGTCTCTTTTAAATAGCGAGTAATTATATGCAACACTGAACTCAATTTTCAAGACGGCACTTGCAACATGAAGATTAAAAATATGAAAAAATTGAGAGATGCCAGTGAAAGTTCTCTTTCAACAGAATTTCTGTCCTCTTTGAAGTCTTTCAAAACCTCTTAAAAATATCTCTCTCCCTCATTTGGGAGCACTGGCTACTCTCTGTAGTGTCCCACTATGCAATATTTTCCTCTAAAGCTGTAATTTTCAGAAGAAGCCTATGGAGAAGCACCAAGTCTCTTTTCATAAACAAAAAATACAATTCGGCATAGTTTTTCTAGCAAAAAAAACCTCACCGTCCAGTATATGAAATAACACATAATTTCAGGAATTTATAGTGTTTAATAAAAATTTGCTGCATTGTATGCTAGCACAGTATCACTTAATAGTTATTGCTAGCTTCAGGATGAGACAGAAAGATATATTTGAAGGGCAAATCTGATATTCCTGTGGTCTCCTACTATGTCTGTGGGTCATCCTGGCCTGGATATCTCAGCACACCCTTTACATATCTCTTGCACCCTTGACACTATCCTACTTTGAGCAAAAACTAGACCATATTGCATACTGACTTAAAAGTTCATTCTTTTTTAGTAGAAATGAACGGTATGCCTACTGTCTCCTTGTTACATACTATTTGCTTTAAGCAAGTCGGCATGTGCCCACTTTTCTTGTGGAGTTTAACCACCTCAACTGTCTCAAAACTCTGACTTTCTTGACTCCTCACATATTGATTTCTTATCCTCTCTTCCCACGTGTGCTAGATATATCTGCCATGTGCAAACCTTCAGTTTCAATAAAGGTCAGGAAAAGCTGGTCTATTCAGATACAGGTATTGTTCTGCTGTATGCCTTTTCACGTAAGGAAGCAACATATAACTTGTTTCAAACTACCCTTGAAATAACAAATGTAGGAGGAGGAGCGGGTAGGGGCAGGAACGGGGTGTGCAAGTGAATCATAATTCTTCTTTCCTATTTGTCTACAAGCATTACGTCAACTACAAAAGTAATTTTAGCGGGAGCATCTTAACTCTCAGGACGCTGCCAACAAAGTCAGTTATCAAGGTATTTCCTAGTCAAAGCCTCCTTTCTTCAGAAAGCACTATTAGTTTTTAGGAGCCTTAGAGCAGGGCAGAAAATTCTGCACAATTATTCATTTCTGATTTTATGGACATTCTTCACGCATCCAAAAAAGGCACAAGCTTACTTCCCTTCTTTTTGCAGGCCTAAGCAAAAAGTAGCACGGCTTCTGTAATATTCGACTCAGACAGGCAGTGACGGATTCCGCAGCTGCACAGCATCTTCCCTAAGCTTTTACAGACGTGTCATCTTTTAACGTTTTATGCTTTGCTTGCCTAGAGTTCGTTGTTGTAATGGCATCACGATTCTGAACTTCCTCTTAGAAGGGAACCGTAAACAGGACATCATCATTGTGAACAGGGAACCGCACAGATCTGAAAGGGGAGAAGAAGCCTTACCCGTATATAAGCATCCTGGTGATGTTTAGCGAAGTACAGCATATTGTCGAGGGCTAGCATTCCTGGAGGGGTCTGTGTAAAATCCATTGCTGGGTTTACATGGTTCTGCAAAAAGACAGTCAGATCGCTCTATCAGTATCTTCACAAAAGCTATCAGCTCCCCAATGATTTACAATGTGCATCATGTCAGCATGCTGATGCCAAAAAAATCCAGCAACATAGCTCTTTTTGTTGAGCAGAAAACACACAACAAGGAAGTGGCCCATACCCCAAAGAAATGTTAAGCCAAACGCCAAACCTTTGTGGCTGGTGTATTAGTCGTTCAGCTCTGTAACTACAGGTTGGAGTTTTCAAAAGGTTGAGTGCCCTAGAAGCACAGGTGCCTTAGGTCTTTCACAGCAGAGAGACTCATAGGTTGTACCAGAGACTAGAAGTACTTTTCACTTGAAAATGTAGATACATATGCAAAGAGCCACCAAAACACTTATCCATAAAATTGCTATTGAACTAGCTCAGAAAAAACAGGAAAAGGAGAAAAAGCTGCTAAATTTGAAAGCTTCATTAAACCTGTTGGATCTTGTGGATGCCTGAACACAAAGGGTCACAGACAGGAATGTATGAAATTAAACTGATTCACTTTGGAGAAGTTAGATACGTTTTTTCTTATGTTCTGAATTTATTTTCAAGTATGTAATTAATGAATGAGCATACCAAACATTGCTGAAACTTGCTAGCTTCCACACCCCGCTACAAATTTCAAATGTTCAATTTCACACTTTAGGCGAAAAACCACACTTGCTCAAAATATTCATTAACCCAAGTCAGTCTTTTGATGGAATGGAATTAAATGTACATTTGAATATGTTTCATGTAGTTGGAGGTTTGTATGTGAACATTTGCCCAGCTACGGACAGGCTCTTAGGAAACACAGAAGCTGCTCAGAAAAAAGACGACCCAAGGGTACGGCTCCATCAAAAATGCTTATCTTCTGCTACAGTCTTATCACTACCTCCTTCTCAATGTCTCCAGCTCCACTCATCATTCCAACACAGGAAGATTTCCCTGGTCGCTTAGCGATGGCATTTCTATTCTGCAAGTCCCAGCTGAGAGAAACCCTTAATGTGCATTTACTACCAGAAAACTGACTATGTAACAATGGCAAAGATCACCTTAGATTTATTCTTTCATCAATCTGTTTCTTCTGTGTACACAGGGTTTGATCCACCCACTCACTGACAAAAGTATGTTTTTACTACTTTTCCTCTTGTTGATTTTGCCAGGCCAAAACGCTGCAGAAAAGTGAGATGAGATTCTACTCTCTCGTCTGTGTTATTTTTAGATGCATGACAGGTTGGTTTTAATCTGCCAATAATTCATATGCACATAAAAGATCAGAAATACTAGAAAGAGAATTTTATACATTAAAATGACCACTGCCACTTTAAGAGGAGTTAAAGGTTTGGAGATGAAGATGGTGTGTTTAAGAGGTTTTTTTTACATCCGTGGCTTAGGTAAACTGACATACAAACAATACAAGCTTAGGATCACCCACTCTGCAATAGGGAATCAAGAGGACGTTTGAAATCCTAGGTTTTATGGGGTAGTACCTATGCGTCTGTCTTTGGAAGGAAGGAAAACATTACACAGAACAACGGCAGTAGTCTAAGTGGAAACAAAGGCTTACAGAGTTGATTGCATTTTCCAAAAGCTCATCATCTTTTACTTAAAAAATGAAACAAAACAAAAACAAAAAACACTTTCATCTATTCATCTGACTAGAGAACAAAATTCCTTCAAAAATCTTCACGGCTATTTCCCCAGCTAAACCTTCCTTCCTCCACATGTGATACACTACTTATCAGTCAAAACACTCAATCAGCACAAACTCTCACACTGTTCACAAGCCTAGCAAACTTCAGCTTCTGAGGTGAGGTAACAGAAGAAAAAACTTTCCTTCTTGCCATCTTCAAGCATTCCAGAAAGTGCAGCTTTTGCAAGGCTGGGTCTGGCGGACACACAAACACCCCCCAATACTGAGCCTTTTTAAGGAAACATCTTAGTGGGCCCTTCTATGCACTTGGAATATTCTTCATTTGGGTTATAACAAAGTACAAGCCCTGGGTGGGGAACAGCACTTGATACTTAGCCCCATAGCAAGCCCTCAGAATTGAAAGGTAGGGAGAGAGATATTGTGCCTTGCAAAATTGAGTTGCATGTCCTTGGAAAAGCTCTTGAGAAGCTGTCAAGAGGTAACCACACAGCACCAAGTGTACAACGCCTTTTCCAAGTGGAACTTCATTACAGGGCCGCACATATTCTCCTCTCTTCACCCCCAGGCTTCAAAGCAGACAGAATATATTTGGATAAATACCTGGCAAGCAGGGTGTATCAACATCCAGCTACCTTTCTCCAGCTGTTCAGCTGCTAGCACCCATTTTATTGGTATTTTAAAAACAGTGTTAAAATACAAGCAGGCTATTGAAATAAAAGCTAACCCACCGTTGCCTGAAGAGTTCTTTTCTTCAATCCATTCTGCAATGTCAAATTGTGAATGTAGAAATTGTGAATGCAGAATTGTGTATGTAGAAGCTTCAACATAAAGCAATAGCAGCAAGAGTAATAACAGTTTATTTTGCCTCTTACCATTGCTTAGGTCTACCTGTTCAACCAGAAAAGTCATCATCATCACCTCTTATTTTTTCTGAGTCAAGCCTATATAGCCAGTTACTTTTGTCTATTTGTTTTTAGAGTTTGTTACTTTGATACCAGGATAACTGGGGCTTGATCTTCAGCTCTGTTAAGTCATAAATAATCGGAGACATGCCAGCTGACAATAGCCAAGGACCCACAAGGCAGAAGTATGGCATGTGTGAAACGATACACTATCTTCAGTTACTCTTCAAAAAAGAAATGCCAGCTGCTTTGTTTCCTTCCTCTCCCCACCACAAACTCATCCTCTTCTCAACGTGTTGAATGTTTGTGGTTGAAATATTAGCTTATTGAGAGTGGGCTTGGAAATGAGATACAAAGCTAAATTATCTAAAATGCTGTAGTGAATAATTCAAAAGTATGCAAACACCCCCACCTACAACATAATTTATTAAATATATGGAACACAACACTTCAGGCATATTAGCTTTATCTGTTTAGTGTATAAAGTCTATTGCATATTTCTCTTGCCAAGAATAAAAAAAATACAAAGGGAACAGATTTATTACCTACAGCTATTCAGACCATTTTTTTTTTTCCATTAGACTGAATAATATCTATGCATCTTTCAGCTTCATCATCTGAGCAGTATTTAATAGCTTATGCTCTGATACGGCACATGTTGATGTAACAAATTCTTGATGTTTTTGGTAGCCAGCTTAGTAGGTACAGCGGAAATGAAAATTTTGTCTTTTGCATGAGATGTTAATCCAAAATGAAGTTTGCTTATTGCATTAAAAAAAAGGCATGTTTCATAGGATTATCGTTATTCTGGGTAAATTCTAGTGCAGTAATTACATTCTGACAATCCAGCATTCGCATACAGGCCTAGCTGCATAAAGCAATCCTCACTATCTGGCGTGAATGGCTCTAAGGTCTTATTCTTGCCTTTTAAGGCAATCTCAGAGGGATGCATAGATTTCAGTGGTAAGACGACATGTCCGCACACTAAGATGCTTAATTACAATAATAGTGTACTGTCTGTAGATAACTGCTAATGGAATAAGCACCACTAGTTCCTTATGTTATTCCTAACAACAGTATCTTCCACGTGAATATGCTGAAGCACGGAAACTGCTTATTTCCCTGTATTCGTAGCCTACTACAGTACGAACTTCTCTTATTTCTGTCTTGACAGATATTGACAGCCTATCACAAATTCTGCATCAGTGCTACATTCAGCTCTGTAAGTCTGTTAGGCTACTTTGTCCTGAAAGCTGCTGCAGTAGGTGCTAGACCCTGTAATCACTGTGCAACGCAGAAAGAACAAACTTTTGGTTTCCCAACCCCAAAGCAGCTTGGGGGAAACGGTCTTCTGTACGTCTCCCTTCTGGAAGTTTGTATTACAACAATACTAGAGAATTTCCCAGGCAAGAATTGGCATTGTAAAAAAAACTGATGATAAAACAACTTCAGAACATCTGAAGAACTTTGAGGGTAGAGTCCAGTTTAAATGGTGTTAATCTAAAACGAACCCCACTCAAACATATTCTCTGCAAAACGGATAATCTATTTACAAAGGTAGTAAAATTGATCACTTTCTCCTAGCCTGATTTACATATATTTACTCATTTTACTCTTTCTTCTAAATTCAAATGACTGTTTTGTAGACAAGGAAGGAAAACAAATTAATCACCCGGTTCTACATCACTGGAGGACCTATGCCAAAACCTTCCTTAGGCCAAATGAGAAAATTACAGTAGTACATACATGGATGTTTGCTCAGGAAGAACTCGGAATCAAGAAGGCAGGAATGTTTTAAGTTATATTTACAGTAAGTTATGAATGGACTAACTTATGTCAGAAGTATCAATGAACACACACAAACTCACCATTTACCTCTTCTCTCATGACTCCCAAAGTTTTCCACATAAAATGTTTCCATCTGTTCATTCACAAAGGAATTACAAATAGGAAAAAACGCTACATAAAAAACATTTGTATAGAGGTAGTCAGCTAAAATTCGTAATGAGGAAGTAATCTTGTCTTTTCATTTTACTGTATTGTATTCAAAGAGACCAACTGCACAAATTTCACCATTTGGTTTAATGAGATACCCCAGTGACTTGGGAATTTTTAACCTCTGTATATTCAAGGAAAGCAAGAAATAACAAACAGATTTGTTTTTCCCTTGATAATTCTCTGAGTATGCAAATATGCATTTCTGTCTTCCAAAGCTGATTTACTGATTTTCCAATGTGATTCTGGAATAGACTGAAAACTTACCTGGAGTACTCCTGACTTAAAACAAAGAAGCAACAGCAACCAGCAACCCCAGAGTGCATCTTGAGTCAGATATCTCTACGCTCAGTAATAGTTACATCTTTTAACAATACGCATAAAGTCTTTTAAGATACATTTAGCGTGAGTCATTTCAATTACATACACACACACAC